TATTAGAAGGAAGGTTAATTAAACCCCATAGCCTAGAAACCTACTTCAGACAGGGCATACCTGATTTCTTCCTGTTACATATTTGAGCACAGGCATGGATTTTAGGACCAAGGAGGGAGCAGGAGAGATAACTACTGGAAGACTGAGAAAGGGGCTTGCAAGGAGAGGACAATTTCATAGACACACAGACAATACATATTCTGGATGTTGTCCAAGCTCTTGCCAGAAACACCCTGGTGTATTCTATAGAGCTTTTCTTGAACACCTTTGGGCAGGGACATTTTGCTTTTACATCAAGGCAGCTGGTGGGTGACCTTCTGTAATGCACTGTTATGCCAACTCGCATAAAGGGCATGGGAGATCTGAGACTGGCCGGTTTTAAAGAGGGCCATGTCAAGTAGGTCTGACAGAGTAAAGAGATCCCGAGCCTAGCTTTGCTGCTGGTAGCAGAACCCCCCTGACATACTCCAGTCAATAGTCTGACAGTGTCCTGCTTCAATGTACATAGAATATTTATTTGCAGTGCCTTTTTTTACATGCTGTCTCTCCCCCTCCCCACAGCTCACCTTCATGATCGCCGCTACTTACAACTTTGCTGTCCTCAAACTCATGGGACGAGGCACAAAGTTCTAGTCTGAAAGAAGAAGCAAGTTATCTGGCGCACACTTTCTTCTCTAACCATGAGGCTCTAACAATGCAGCCACATGACACCATGTCTCCTACTTTAACTCCGCCTTCACCACCAACTGCCTTCTTCTTGCTCTCCTGTATCCAAATGTGAGGAGTGTGACCAGGAAGGAGAGACTCCCAGTGATGGAAGCTTTGTGCACTTTTCTCTCTGTCTACATCTGTAATGGTTTTGCTCTGCAGCGAGTCCTTCTGGGAGTGGGGAAAGCCCTTTGTGGAGGATTTCCTGCCATGCCAAAAATGAGAAGGAGCAATTCTTTCATCATCTAACTTCCCAATATGTTCTGGGAAAGAAGCTCTGCAGCTCCTGGCAGGTGGAAATCTATGCTGACTGCCCTACTTCTAGTGAGAAACAGGCTGCATGCTATATAGAAAGAAAAGGAAGCAGCTTGGCCTCGCTACCATTGCCTGAGACTCCTTGGGGGTAAACAAAGGAACTTGCTTCCATCTCCACACCACAGATGGAGGATAAGAGAAGGATCTTTTCCTAGTAAAAAAAGAAAACTTGCCTTAATTTACATGCTGCAGCTAGGGCAGAGGGGGCTTAGAGCAAGGATCTTCCCAGTGCTGGAAGAGAGCACTGACCCCTATGCTGATAGAATCCTTAACCCAGTCAACCCTATTAAAGCATAAAGGAGCTTGGTGTCTCTGTAGACAAAGGGGACTCTTGGTTGTACACCTCAGCATTGCCTGTACCACTCACAACAGGTCCTAAACAGCAGGAAGGAGATGGATTCCAGCTTGGACTAAAGAGACTTTTCTAATCAGTGGCCTGAGAGTGTAAACCCAGAGGTGTCCCTTTTGTAGACAAAGGATAACTTGTTGGACTATATCTTTGTGTGTCCTTTTTCTTGTAACCAGTTGTGCATGTTGAACTCTGTCATACCTTCACAATGGTGCTCTTTGGTTGAGGTTTGCTTCCATAATGTCCTATAAATCAAAGATCTTGATTTGTTTCTGATTTGTGCCAAATGTAACCTACCCCCCGCTTTTAAATGGTTTCCTGTGAGCTAGTATGCTTGTCTGATGCATCTAAGCCAAAAACTGTGAAATTTGGAATGTCCTATTTAGATTATGGCAAATTTCAAAAGACATTCAAAAAGCAGTAAAATAAAGGAATATGGGGAGAGGAAGTAGAGACTTCAGAGTGGTTTGATCTGCATAAGATCTAAATTTGACATTGCTATGCAAATCAAACTCCTTCACAGTCCATGAAGTCTTTCTCAATGGGGGACCCTGAGACAACTTGGAATAAGATTTCAACATTTCCTGTTTTGTGGGAGACACTGGAATGGAATATGGGATCATCTTATTTCAAATACTTAAAGAGAACAAGGTTCAAACTGATAAGGCACTTCCCTGCACAGTGTGACCAACAGAAATGGGTCCCAGGAAGTGCTCATAAAGACCCAAAGGAAGGCTCTCCACAGATAAATTGTCCAGGGTGAAACTTTCTGTTTCTAGTCTTCCCTCTACTCATTAACTACCAGTGTAGGAATTTGTCTTGGCATTATTTATTTATTGAAGAAGCGTTCAGTGGCAGATTGCAGCTCTTTCACTGCATGGACTTTAATACTGGTTTGAGCAAGGGCCTGAGTAAGCTATCAGTCATGCTAAGCAAAGAGCTTGATGTATCCTTGTCATTGAGCACACTGAAATAGATCAGTTAGGCTATCAGCACACGAGTTGTGGGGGTGGGGAGAGAGAGATTAGGACAGGTTGAGGTGGGAAGAAACCAGTCAAGATCAGGCAAATGAAGTCATCTCTGTGTTGATTTAATAACATAACAAATAACCAAACCCCTCCCCTGCCCCCAAAACCCAAACGTACACACAAAAAAGAGTTAATCAACTGAAAGTGTTTCCTTCACATCTGATCTAGAATTTCAACTCTTTAACAAGAAGTAAAAAGAAGCAAGTTTTTAGAGACTTATCTCACCAGGCATCTTTTATAAAATTAAAGAAAATAAATTAAAATTAAGAATGTTCTGAACAAATATGTATGTTGGTCTGTTTGTCTGTCTGCCTGTTTCTCTAAGCTGGCCTCCAAAATGGAAGACAGAGGAGACCACTTCCTAGGTGAACTTGATTTGATGATACTTCTCTGATGGAAGCACAGGGATTGTCTGTTGCATGATGAACACCCAGGGCCAACATCCAAGTGACCCTAATTGGATGTTGGGGGGTGCAGGAGAGATGAGTGGGGGCCACAGTCAGAGCTTCAGGCTAGAAGTGGCTGCAGATGAGACCAGTACTGAAATAGCAAGGTTATTGCACAAGAGACCTAGGGTTCATTGACTGTAGCGTTTGGATAAATCTGCCCTGGCCTCACTGCTAGATTATTTGATCACTTATTGGATTTGTTTTGATGGAACAATTGTTAAATTTAGTCTCAGTGCAGTGCCAGCTAAACTGAGTTCTAAAACACCTGGTCTGATCTTTGTGGTTAGGTTTGAACTGGAGATGGGGAATTATTTGCACCAAACAAGTTACTTACCAGATATGGCCCTTTATATTTCCACTCACAAGCCACATAGGAACTTACTGTAAGCTCTCATAGCAAACATGCTAGAGAAAATGTTTTTTTCCTAGGATGCCACCGTTCCACTGCTGTGTTTGGGCAAGATCTATTCAGGAACTGATGGTCTTTCACAACTGTAGTATTCAGAGATCAGCATTTTGGCATCTCTCCCTTCTGTCTTGGTACACCATGTACGAGATAAAATGCAAGAAGATAATCATAATGTCTTAATGCATAGAAGGTTTGTTGTCCTGTGGGGCCAGGCCAACTCTCAGGATCTCAAAATAGTGCTGTTAGACGGGAGGGTGCGACACAATTGCACATATGCGCACACACACAAAAATCAATTGGGCGCATACACACACACACACTAGGCACTTACACACCGGTGAGTTCCTAACTTGGGTGGTGTGGTGTGTGTGCACTTGGGGTACTTAGGATATCGAGGGTATTTGGTGACTATGGGAGGGGGAGTCAAGGGTCAAAGATTTCCAGAAGGAGGAGAAGGAGGGAGATGGATGGGTGTTAAGATGAGAGAGGGAAAAATAAGAGAGTGAAAGTGCCAGGAGTGAAAGTTGCTGGGGTCAGGATTAGAACTGGCAGACTGGAAGGGGAGCTGGGGTTACTTAAGGTCAGGTGACCCCTGGGGTTACTCGAGCTCAATGTACCTGGGGTTACTTGGGGTCACTTGAGAATAGAGTTATTTAAGGTTAAAGTGGCCCCTGGGTTTACTTAAGGTCACTGTGCCCCAGGGTTACTTGGGAGGCAAGTCCAGGGTTTGGTGAGCGGATAGCTGGGAGGCACAGAGAGGGAGCCAAGATGACCGAGAGACAGACAGACACGGGAGGAAGATCAGACGGGCAGAAAGCTGAGACTGGAGTAGGGCTGGGAGGTCAGTAATAGAAACCCAACTCAGAGTTTTAAAATAACAGCTTTATTAAACAGACAACACACTATACAGCCCCTACATACACACACACCCACACACAATGGTAGCAGGAGAGAAAAAGTCTTGGTGGAGGGATTGAAGTCAAGGTATGTAGGGACAGAGTCCAGGTCCTTTGCTTGGGGAAGGAAGGCGGTTGATAGCTACCTATCCCAGACTGTGAGTTGATCCTCGATGGCCAGTCAGGGTCTTCTCCAGCAAGGTGCTGTTCAGAGGGGGTTGCTGGCCGGGCCTCTAGGTGGTGTGGTGTAGTGCTGGTCCAGATGGAGAGGGCATCCCACTGGGTCTGTCTTCACTGCCCCCGTTAATAGGGGCAGAACTTCTATGACCCTAGTGGCAGGGGCATGCCCAGGCAAGGGGCAGCCCCTGGTGTACTGAGCATGTGCACTCCAAGCTAGGACATGCAGTTTCAGGTGTCTGTAATGGTGGGTTGGCTGGTTTCTGCAGCAGTCTTTGTCTTCCAAATCTTGAGCTAGGGAGGGTCAACGCAGGGTGATGGTTGGGTCGTGGAGTTGATGGTTTGGTTATTCAGCGGGGGCTATTTTTAGACCTACTACCATTGTCTCTCAAGCACCCTCATTCATCCCCATGCATTCAGGAACCAAGTTACATGAGAGAAGAGTCATGAGTCACACAGTTACAACATATTGTATAGGGCAGTGTATGACAAGATGGAAGCTTGTCATACAAAACGGAAACTTGACATTACTTTACAGACATAGGCCTAAATCATATAAATTCAATATAAAACAGTAAAAAAAAAATCAATGCAAACATAACAGAATACTATTTACAATATAAAAAGGGGGCTTATTACAATGATAGCATACAAGAACTTAGCTTACCTAGCACTATCACTTATTAGGGATAGAGAGGGCAGAGAGAAAGTCAGAAATGGTTAGGGGAAGGGGAGGGAGTGTATTTTAAAACAGAAAAGAAAAGAAAAACTGGAGGTTTTGCTACAAGTTCATAATCTCAAACAGAATCCATACCTCCATTGTCTGGGGGTACCCCAAATCAGCCTCCTCCTCAAATCTCCTGACTGCAAGGATTCCCAGGTAAAATTTGGTGGCCTGTGCTTGGCTTGAGGATAGACTGATTATAGTGGTCCTTAGGGTTTTAAAAATCTTTGTATCTCACTCTGCAGGTTGCTAATGCTCTGTTTCCTCAAAGTAAATTTAGTTTGAGCAGTCCAGGCTGGCTATGCAGATCACGTGGAGTATTTCTGCTCCCTGATTGGATATATGTCACTCTTAGAATCACGTTTCCATAGAAGCTATTCAAAATTATCAATTCAAGTTTCATTTCCTGAAAATATTCTCTCAAAATGCCCCACTTCTGACCCTTCCCTGGCAGGAAACCTGCTAGAACTGTTGCAGAGAGAGAATACAGAAAAAACCTATGAACTCAATGGAATGTTTCAGTTTTATTGTTTTACTGTTCATCTGTTTTCAAGGAAAATTACATTCTAGGAATGGCATTTTAAACGTGACATTTGGCCCCAGGCAGACTGGCCTGCCAAATTTTTGGGATCTAAATTTGCTGGGGTTGCACTGAATTGGAGCATAGTCTATGGGTTTGATTGGAAGCTCCTGCTTAAAGAGGCCTTGCTGCCAACAGACAGCATCTGAAAAAAGTGGCAGCATATAGATCCTCATCAGAGGTCAGTTGCTTGAGCTAACACTTGGGAGGAAGGAGTCAAATCTTGGTGAGAATAAAATAAAAGTTAAAATTAAGGACCCTACTTGGCCTTGTCTTAGTTTATATGACAAGTTTTGCCTTGTGAAGATGAAAATCCCTTGGCTAGAACAGAGCAAAGAGAGAGAATGAAAAACAGATGAAGGAGAGATGGCATATCCCAAACGGGAGGATCAACACAGGCAGACAAATGAACTAATCTTGTCCTCTTTGAGTAGGACCTGCTCCAGCTCCAGCTGAAACCAGCGAGTGTTTTGGAGAGCTAACAGGAATGATCAGACCATTCCAACCCACCGCTGACTGCTTTGAGAACTTACTTGCAGGTCTTCTGCATGGAGGCAGATTTTTACCCTAAGTGCTTTGTACTCCCCTCTGAGTCCAATCTCTACACAGCAGTAGCTTCTGGGTCTTCAGAGAGCATCAATGGAGCTTATTGTTCTCTGCTCTCCTGAATGCCTTCACCCTCCTTTCTCTGTGCTGAAAGGGCTCTGTGTATGCTGAGATCGGCTGGAGATCAGGAACAAGCTCTACGAACAAAAACTGCTCTCTTGTTGTTGAAACGGGTTGCATTTTCTTCTCACAAGGGCGAGGGCTGGGTGCAGCAGTGTATGGGGAGTGTGCAAAAGCCTAGAGCTCATCCAGAAGGCAGAGCGAGTTCCAGGACTGGGTGACAAGGAAACCAAAATGCCCTGTTACCCAGGAAAAAACGGCTGCTCCAGGCCAAGGGGGAGCCCGCACAGTCTTGGTACCTTTGCTTCAAGTAAGATCTTAGTTTTCAACGGCGAGGCTTCATTTCTACATGTCAGTGTTGCAGTGCAGTCGCTCCTGCAGACACCCAGCTCTCCCTGGAGACCTGACCCCAACAGAGGTGAAAGGGGATGAGGAGAGTTATGAATGCCAGCATCTCCCAGCTCAAGCTGCGCATGAGGCAGGCACAATGGTATAGGTTGATCTGATAACATAAACGCAGGTGGGTCATCAGGATGGAGTGGCATTTCTACCATTGTAGCAAATGGCAAGAGCTTCCAGGAAAGAGCTCAGGGGACAGTGACGCACCACCACAGCACTCTATCTCTGCTACGGCACCAGGTGTATTTTGCCTTTGCTAGCTGTACTGGTGAAAGGGGCACTGTGGCCTTAGCAGCAGCTTCCTTTCTGCTAAAGGAAGGAGGTTCCAGTCAGCACTTATTTCTTCATCAGTAAGGATACTAGAGTAAATGTTTCTTCCATATGGAGCAAGCCTCCATCTTTGACACCCTGGATCTAACTGATGATCACCCAAGTCAACCTTACATCTCACATACTCTGCACAGGGCCTTAACAGACTTGGATTTCACTTCTGGCTCTAGCACAGATCACCAAATGGAACCCTGGGCAAGCCACTGCTCTTTGTACCTGTTGCCCCAGCTGTATGACAGGGATAGCACTCACACACCTCATGGCAAGGTTGGGAAAGTAAATTCAGTCAAGTGGAAAATGCCACAGAAAATCTAACAAATAAAAACAAGATGAAGTGACCCTAGTCCCAGGATTGAGTGGAGGAGCTCCAAGCACAAAATTTTACAGGCTGAGCTAAAGGACTAAACTCCCAGACAGTAGGAAATGAGCAAACTCATATTGGGCTCCATAAGACTCACACCCCTAAAGAATGCAGCATATCTTCACTCTGTCACTGTGCCAGGACAAGTCTGAGCTTTGATCCCATGAGTTAGCTCAGCCCGTTCAGTCCATAAAGACTACATCTAGAACAGGGGCGGGCAATTATTTTGGGCAGAGGGCTGCTTACTGAGTTTTGGCAAGCCATCAAGGGCTGCATGACAGGCAGCCAGGGGTAGATAAATATTAATTTTCTAAATTTTTTAGGGGCCCCGTGAGCCAGATAGAATGGCCTGGTGGGCCGCATCCAGCCCCCAAGCTGCATTTTGCCCACCCCTGATCTAGAAGGAACATTACTCTTGGAAACACCTTGAGCCTTATGGATTCAAGACAGCTGTTGCTAATGATCAATGTTGTCAATATTATTGATGAAAACCTAGAAAGCGTTGCTGAAAAAGAGAAAAACCCACTGACTTGCATTGCAAAAATTTTCTATGACAAAAAAGATTCCTGACTACTGCTTTGTTTATTATAATAGTTAAGCGCTGATCCAAAGAATTAGCATGCCATAGACTTCAGCTGTATACTCTGTGGAAAGCTGCATAACGTACGGCAAACTAAGATCTGGCCTACACTCACAATTTAGCTGACAGCTCTACTAGCTCAGTGTGGAAAGATTACACCTTTTGTGCAACAAAATCACAGGGCTGGATGCAGCTACACTGACAGAAGGCTCCTGCTTGGAGTAGTTAAGCTGGTAGAAAACCTGTCTATAATTATTCTGCATCTGCACTGGAGGTGCTCTGCAACTCTGACAACACTACAGAGTTGTAACTGTAATGCAGACAAGCCCCAACAGTCAGCGCTTGTAGCCATTGCTATGTGAAACCTTTGATAAAATCTACTCTTACTTGTACTCAGATTAACCCTGGTCCCTTTCTCCCTACATGGTGGGAACAGCAACACTTCTGTTACTTGGTTAACTGCAAGAGAGAGAAAGGGCCAACTTCTGTCCTGAATTACACTGATGTAAATCTGGAGTCACTCCTGTAATTACAGTGTTGTTCCTGTGAATTTACAGAAGTATGAATGACAGCGTGAAGATTTCAGCGATGCAAGGTTCAGTCTGTGTGACTCATATACACATCGTATCTGCTAACTTTTGGAGCCTGGGCAGAGGGGAAAAACAATCTGCCTTCAGGGCACAATTACCTGGAAAGGGAGCTTTGATGAGAGAGAAAGGAGAAGCTTCTGTGTACAGGATGATGATAAAAATATATAGCAAGGCAAGCTAGCCAGTGCACGCAGGGATCTCTGCTTTTGCCTCTGGATGGCAGCAGTTGGCCTGGCTTAGAACTTCCAGGCGTCTATTTCATGGAGCCTGATGTGGTAGCAGGAAAAGCAGTTGGATGGAAAATTATTGCCAGAGTTTATTTCATAACCTTACTGATGTTTCTTCTACATAGATACAGCAAGAAAATCTGTTTAATACACTGTGTGCTTCCCTGCCTCTGGTGAGGATAATCAGGGCTTTGAATCTAGCTGGCATTTCCTATATCCCTAGCATACTGATGACCAGGGATCCTGGTTTTCTCTGATTAAAAATTGCAAATTCTCTGATTAAAGACCCAAAATCCGTGATAAAAATTAAAAGGCCACCCACAGTGCCCCCCCCGCCCAGTGCTGCTGGTGCCCTGCACTCCCCCGCACAGTCTCAACAACACTTTTGATGCCCCACAACAGCCCCCCAGACCCACAGACACGCAGGCACAGATATGCAGACACAGAGGCACACACAGATACTGACACCCACCCCAGCAGGTAAGTGTGTGTGGGGGGAAGGGATGGGGTGGGGCAGGGCAGGGGAAAGGGAAGGTGCTGGGGGGGTGGACCAAGAAGCAGGGCGGGGGGGG